AAGGCTTTGCTGAGGACTTCCACTTCAGCTTGATGGCCCATTTTCTTAGCTTTGAATATTTATTGTTAAATTAAATATTTTGATTCTTTTTATAAATTTAATCCATACATTGCAATATTTGTTTAGTAGATAGCATGTATTACCAGCTTTATCTTATAATACGAATTTTTAAGTTTAATTTGCATAATTTTGATTAATTTTCTAGTATTATCATAGTGGAAAATTATGAAAATGAACATCTAGATCACATTAATTACTTCCTAACTAATAAAATCTACCTACCATTATTGAAAGTTTAATGGAACAACTATGAAAGTACTACACCATATTCACATTAGGGTTACGCTTGATATGTTCACGTCCATATATTTCCATTGACTTAATAATCAAGTTAAGCTTGATCTAGTAATGTTCACGATATATTTACAAAATATATAATTAATTGACCTTCATAAAAGTTAGATAGAATGGCCCTCATTGATTATTTCTTTTTTAATTACTCACGTTTAGCATGCTTACCAAGTATATGAAACTAATTGGCTTATTTATTCTTTTTTTCCTTGTAATAAAAATGTCAGCCTACTTTCTTGGGAATGAATTGACTATTAGGCATTGAAATAGCGCCCCACATGAAGCTTAGGTGCCCAACTGATATGAAAAGCAAACTGCACTTACTTTTTTGGTAGTTTCAACCTTTTTCATAAAACACCCCGTAATTTTTTTTTCTTCAATTAATACTCTATAAATAAATTTTATTCCCATAAAAATCACACTGTTCATATAAACAACAATAAATATTTCATCTGAATTTATATATATATATATATATGTATATACACACACACTCAAAAACCTTATTAAATGCTACTTCTTACAAAATAATTTGCGTTATTATGACTGTCGACCTTGAAAGTCTTAACGTTTATTATCCACCGGCATTGAGTAAGGATGTAAAATAATAAAAATATTAAATTTCACTCACATCTCTTTTGATTTCAACTTTTCAACTTTTTCCGTATGTTATTCTATAATTTTATTGTGTTTCCAATTAATATCTCATGGATAAGTTTTATTCTCATAGGAATTACACCGTTAGTTTTACTCAATAAAAATATAAAATTATTATGAAGTGTTAACAAATAAATTAACTTTTAAACCATACTGTTCTCATTTTCTGAAATAATAAATATCCTACATTAATTTGTGGTAATGTGGTCCATGTGAGGGACTTGTCATGATATCTCTAAACTCTTGGTGATCAATTTGTTCTTTATTATTTCCTTTTGTTTCAATTTTGAAAAACATGTGTGTGCAATTATATATATATATATATAGATGTTTATTAACTATGCATATTTCGTGATGAAGAATCATATATATTGGAATAAAAAGGAGGAATAAAGGATTTGTTCTTTATTTTAGTGGTTGAAGATGGCCTCTAACGGAAAAACAGATGCATACACAACTAAAGCATTCACAATTATCATTACTTTCATTATTTTTTGTTTACCTTTTAGGTATTATATATGAATATTTGGGTTATGAGAGACACACCAAGCAAAAAGGAAAAAAATAACAAAAAAAAAAGGGAACAATATCTTATTTGTTTTCAAATTAACAAATAACTAAAATGTAAATCCAAATATAATATAATTAGTTGCTTTGTAAAAGTAAAATCATGCATTTCATTATCTGAAAATTATATATTTTACACATAATTTTTCCAAATTTTTATTTACTTTTGTATCTGAACATATTTTTACGTTTTTACTTCTGAATGTAAAAAGTAAATACAAAAGTTATAGTAGCTCAAAAAACACTTGAAGTATTCACAAAAATTTAAATAAACTGTTATACTTTTTCTACGTTCGATCAAAGCTCTTATATTTTTATTTTAAACTAAATAAGTTCTTATGATTAATGATTGACTAACTATTATCAATCAAAATGCTACTTATCTTGTTTATACCACATGGTGTTGATATAACATGCCGATATGTCATAATGAGTGGTCACGTTACAAGTTTAATTATGTGATATAATGACATGGTTATATAATATTTTTATACTTTAAGTCAACACCGCATAGACATAAAATGATAAATGATATTTTAATTAATGATATTTAGTTAACCGTTCATCATACAAGCCTATTTGATTCAAACACAATTAAAAAAACTTAATTAAAATCTTTTAAATAGTTTAAGAGTTTTTTTAAAGATCATACCTAATAAGAACGTCGACTAATTGAAATGTTATTATTGTAAACAATAACAAAAAAAAGTAAAAAAAATCATTAATTAGGTTTAATGTTGATTTTAAAAAAATCAAAAACCTTGAAAAAAAACAAGAAAAATTTCGAATCATTTGAAATTCAAAACATAGGTTTATATTTTAGAATAAATTTTATACAAGAGTATCATATTTATATTACTTGCATATTAAGTTAGGTTAATAGTTATTCTTTTACTTTACTTATACTCCAAGGAAGTTTAGATCAAGTTATTTCTTTATTTATTTTTATTTAAGAATTATAATAATCTCACATAGGAAAGAAAGAATGCTTTCTTCCTTAGGAATAGTTGTCTAAAGCTCTTTTGGGTTAATTGTTAAACATATTGAAGTTGAGAATTAATAAAGAATTTTTTTTAATAAGTAGGATTGTTAATTTTCTCTAGGCTCTTTTAAAAAGAGTAAGAGATTTTAATATTTTTGATTTGGCTAACCAAAGTAGAATTTTGGCCATTGTTTACCTTAGTGAGGTTTTCTAACCTAGTCAATATTGGTGTTCACCTTTATGGGATTTCTAACCTCGGCACAATTAGTGTTTTCACAACGCCCCAATGTCAATTTTATACTAAAGCAAGAGGATCATTGTTTACTACATAGTTCAAGTTCTTATTACTGTTGGATTTCGAATCTCCTTATTTGGGTAATTTTATCTCTTTTATTGGTTTCTAGTTTTGTCATGATTCTTTTTCTACATCACAACATCGTCATCATCATACAATAAAATGCAGTCAAGACGCCAAAATCATCAAAGAGATGTTCATGAGAAAGAGGTTAAGAAATTATATCACCAAATTCAAGAATTACAAGAGCAACTCGTAAGACGTGATGTTGTTCAAATCAACAATAGTGATGAAGAAGATAATACCAATCCTTGCCTTCAAGAATCATCTTCTTATGAAGAAACACTTATATGTCATCTAAGAACTATTGCTAATAAAGATTTGGGAATCAAGTTATATATTCTTAAGTTTGAAGGAAAACTTCACCTTGATGATTTTCTTAACTAGCTCTACACAGTGGAAAGAGTTTTTGAGCTCAAAGATGTTCTTAATGAAAACGTTTAAAGCTTATTGCAATTAAATTAAAGGAGCAAACTTTATTTGGTGGGAAAATATCAAACGGCAACAAGAAAGAAGAGGTTGTAACAAGATTATAACATGGGATAAGATGCGTTAAGAACTCAAACATAAGTTCTTTCCTAAGCACTATCGACAAGAAATTTTTATTAAATTACATACCTTAAGGTAGAAAACAATGTTGGTGAAGGAATATACATTGGAGTTCAAACAACTTCACATGAAGTGTGATGCCTATGAACCTGAAGAGTAAAATGTAGCTCGTTTTCTTTGAAGTCTCAATGTTGAAATTGTAGATATTGTTCAACTACAATTGTATTGGAACTTAAATGATGTCATCATATTAATGTTAAAAGTTAAGAAACAATTACCATAGAAAAGCTCCAAGAGTTCATCTAGCTAAAAATATTCTACTTCAAACCATGGGAGACAAAGTTTGATAAGTGTTTCGCCTCCAAAAGTAAACTTTTCCAAAACTACAAACAATAGTGATCTTCTATTTGTGGTTCTAATCTCAACAAGAAATGCTTCAAATGTCAAAAATTTAGGCATATTATTTCTGATGGTCCAAATCGAAAAATTATCTCCTTAGTAGAAGAAGAAGTTATAAAAAAATATATTATGAAGAAATAGAGGATGAGTTAGAAATATTCAACAAAGATGAGATAGAAGAAGTTACTATTGACCATAAAGAAGCTTTCATTGTTTGTCATAACCTCAATACTACTATGATGACTAAAGATGAAAGTTGGCTTCGCTACAACATCTTCCATACAAGGTGCACTTCTTAAGGGTAGGTTTGTAATGTTATTATTGATAATGGAAGTTGTGAGAATGTTGTTGCCAACTACATGGTAGAAAAGTTGAAGCTTCCAACTGCGATACAACTCCATCCTTACAAGTTACAATGGTTGAGAAAAGGAAATGAAGTGAACATTACAAAATGTTGTTGTGTTCAATTCTCTATTGGAAATAAGTATCAATATGAAGTTTGGTGTGATGTTATCCCATTGAACGCATGCCATCTGTTGATGGGACATCCATGGCAATATGATCGTCAAGCTCACCATGATGGATACAAGAATGCTTATTCTTTCATCAAGACTAGAGAAAAAGTTATGTTGACTCCACTAAAGCTAGAAGATCAATCCAAGAGATAAGAAAAAGATAAAGCACTGATCACTGTATTTGGTTTAAACAAAGCTTATTGTGAGTCGAGCCTTTTATATCTTTTATTAGTTTATGAGAAGAATGAAGCATCTTCATCATTATCTAAGGATGTCAAACCCATAAATGAGGAGTTCTATGATGTTATACTTGATGAGATACCCCACAGACTGCCACCAATGTGAGATAATTAACTCCTCCCTTTCTCCCTATCGATCTCCCTCTCCTCTCTCCATTTCTGCAAATCATCATTCTAAGATTTTTTTTTTATTCTTACAAAAATTAAGAAAAAAGAAGATTCAAAATTCAAAGTTGCATTCAGGTATTATTTCTTTTTTTTCTTTCTATTTTGTTTGTAATTTTATTCTCTATTTTTTTAGTACTTTAAAATCTCTCCTTATTAATTGATATTTCTCAGTTTATTGTTTGATATGACAATTATGTGATGTTTATTTATTCTTAACTTCTCTATGGTGTATATAATATTTGATTATTAGGATTGAAATAATTAATTAAATAGGTCAATGGTTGTTGGGATAAATTAGATGAAAATTGAAATAATATTTATTGATTATAGTTGTTAAGATAATATTGTTCATGAAAGTTAACATTGTTAGTAAGGATATCAATAGCTAAATGTTATTTTCCTAAATTATTACTAGTTTACTACCACCCTAAATTTCTCTTCTTCTTTTATGGGTTCTCCTCTATTGTTAGGGTTAAGGGTTTAAGTAGTTGATTCACTGCTTTCTTTCATCTCTTTTTTTTTTATTTGATTCAATTTTTCTCTTGATTTTATTTATTTATTATTATTTAAT